TTGCGGGCCCAATAGTAGTAATTACAGAGTTTTGCTTTACAGAGTTTTACTTTTTTTTTTTAGTATTTTTGTTTTTTAGTATTTATATTTTTAATTCTTTATTCTATTTTTGCACTGAACTGTTACTTTTTTGAATTTTAATAATTATAAGATTAATTTGAAAATAATGTCATATGTATATACACCCTTTTCGAGCGATTGGGCTCATTTTGAGATAAATAAAACATAATAACATGATCGTCTTTTGAACTTTACAAAATAATTTTTTCATTAGAGAAGTTAAATTCAAATACGGTAAATTCATTTTCTACTAATTAAATTAAAATGTTGATGTTCTTACATCATATTTGATCATAGCATCTATTAAGAAGTTTTTCGTAGTCCTATTTCCTTTCTTTCCATTTTTCAAAATTTTTAGGTTTGACAGCTCAAGGCACTTTGATATCCCAAGGCTTTTTGTTCTGTGAACCTTTTGGAAAAATTATATTATGGTTTAATCTAATCAAAACTACAAAATGGACTCGCATACTGGGGTTGTGTCCGCGGTAATAGTATGCAGTCATTTATCATAGCGCAAAAACATATTTTAGGAATTATTCATAAAAAGGAAAAACGGGAATTAGTTTTGCATTGGTCGAAAAATCACGAATACCTTTAATGCATTTGTACTTTTACAAAGTATTAAGAAGCTTTTTTACTAAGAGTGGTCACATATTAAATCGTAGTAATAATTAGAATAATAGTAGAATTATATATTAATTCAAAAATAACTAATATTTTTATCTATAATTTATAAATTTCTTATTTGTTAGAGCAAAAACTTTTCAATTATGTTTTTTAAGTTTACGTGGCTTGTTTAAACTTGTACGATTAATTGCAGACTACTAAATAATTGTCAATGACGCTTTGGCATATGGCCATGTCATGTTAAAAAGAATGTTTTGAATTTTACATTTAAAGTAGACTGTTCAAAATTCTGCTGAGCTATTTTAAATTATAAAAGCATATTTCGTCGGTCAAATTGCCACATCACTCCCGCCCTAGTGAGGTTGGAGTGAACGTTAGAATAAGTGAAAGCAGTACGATGTAGCATCAAAATTTATATAAATAATGTATATTGTGTGAAAATAAAAAAAACTGTAGCTTACTATAATAATGAGTTTTTTTTTTAAGTTAATGATAGAGTTTGATAGAGTTGACAAGTTGTCCTAATATGTTTAAATCTCGCTGATAACTTAACGTTTTTCTCCCCACTCCGCCCAACTTCTTCGGAAAAAATTGGATTTTTCTTAAAAGTAGGTAACTTTTTCAAAAATTTGTCATCCTGTTACTCGACAATGACAAAACCTAAGAGATTATATAGCTTTCTGAAAAGCTCGGATTCAAATTGTGATTCTCTGTCAGTAAAGATTTTGGAAGATACTCCATAGTGGGTAATCCAATGGGTAAATATTACTGTTGCACTATGTCTGCCTTAATGTCGGATGTTGGCCTTATTTCTGGTCATCTACTAAATTTATCGATTAGTGTCACACAGTATTGCATGCATTCGGATCCTGGAGGTGGATATATAATATCCAGGCGTATTTTGTCAGAACTATCTTTTGTCAGGGTAGGATTTTCTACTGAACTTTTTATGTGCCTTATTTCAGCTTTTCACATGGTATGCAAGTTTTGACCCACATTGCCATATCTTCGCTTACGTTCGGTCAAATGAAATTTTTAATTAATTTTTTGGTAGTAGAACGATCTCCTGTGTGCTAGGTTGTGTAATTATTTAAATACTATTGCGCTCAGATGTTTAGGTATGTAAAGTCTTGTAACGTCAGTTGATTTGTCGAAATAAATTGTCCTGGTTTTTTAACGACATTTCAGTTCGAATGAGTTTCCTTAGTTCTTCATCAATTTCTTAACATCTAACTATTTAGTTATAGTCTTAATATATAACTTTCGCTTAACGAAGAGCTTTCCGGGGCTGCGATTGGCCCAAGGAGTTTTTGGGAGATAATGATCGGAAGCGATTTAGGGAAGATTATAGGGTTGGGCAAGAATCAGGTGAGAATCCCCGCCGGGGTTTTGAAGGGACACTTCAAACTTAGGGGACACCTTTACAGGCTGGACTTAAAAAGTGGGAGACAATCGCAGATTCTGTGGGGAGGATGGGGAGAAATTAGTACACCTTCTGAGAATGCTCTCGCTCGTAGGAGAAGGAAATACTAGGGATTTTGCTCTCATGGCGGAGTTGCAGTCTTCCGGGCCTCGCAGAGCACTCGTGTTCATCAGGAGGGTGGGTCACGAGTGGGTGCTGCAGGGCATGCCGCACACTCAGAGGTTTACAAAATAGATTCTTATTGGTGGTCGCAATGTACTGTTACCATCGGTTGTACAAATCTACCAATCTTTGAATCCAAAACTTTTTGAGACGATCCTAAAGACAACAATTTCATATAATATTGTAAAAAGTGTATAGATTGTAAAAAAGGTGTATGAAAATAGTACGTAATGGGCGATATTATAATAATATCGCAAAGTATTGTGTAACAACAATAATTCTGAATTCTATATTTTTTATTATTATTTTCCCATTTATTTAAATTACCAATATTGCTAAAATTCTAATTTGTCATAACTTAATATTAACGCACATATATTTGCAAACATTATATGTAGTTAGTTAATGTAAATATTTTCCCATTCATAACTTTCTCACAATGTTTTAATAGGAGTCAAATTACATATACTTACATACATATGTATTTTGTTTGTTAATTTTACTTTAAGTAAATTTGGAACCTAACGCAATTTAACATGGGAAAATTATGAATTTTATAAATGCATAAAACTTGTGGTGTTCTTTTAGATTGAATTTATCCAAAAATTACTTCTACGTTCATTGGAATTATATTCCAATCTAAGAGTAAAATAATGAATTATCAGAGGAAAAAGCGTTCGAAATATTAATTTAATACGGGAATGATTTAAAATTTAATTTAATACGGGTAATACAAAATGCTTAACATGGTAAAACATAGCACTGGCATCAATAATTAATATCGTCAATGTCTTGTTAATTTCTTGAAGTGTTCCTGGTACTGTTCTAGCTTATATTATTCGAGAACTGTATTGGAGGCCCTTATAATTAACACCTGGAGCTCCAAAACGTAAATTTAATATGAAATGTTTCTTGAAATTTTCAATTTGATAAGTTCAATGAGGAGTTAAATTGCGTGTGTAATATGTATAAATAGTATTTAAAATCATTAGGTTCAGCCAGTCTTAATTGTTTCACTAAAATATTTGTATTTTTGTTTGCATTGTACTGCATATTATTTTAAAATTTTTTTTTTGGGTCTAACTCTATTATGTTCATGATTGTATTGCATGTAGTATTTCAACAGTATTGCATGAAAATATAGTATTGTGTAAGGTATAGATGCTGTCGCACAATATTGCTCCAATATTGCTGAATTTCTATGAAAATAGCTTTAAAATCGTGCCGCCAAGATGTGCCTTAAGACTTCATTCACATAAAAAGAAATTTTTTTGTTCCTGCTTTTTTTTGCTATTTATTGAAGTTCGAGCTGCTCACTTCATGTAAGAACAAATTAATTTATCCACATTCATTTTATATTAGTTTCTCTTAAAAATTTAATTTTAAATACACATACATAATATTCATAAATGTTTGTTTCTGAAATAATTACATATTATCAGAAATAATTATAGAATTAGAAAGTTATTCAAATTTATGTGCCCCATTTCATTCTTCTACTTTTCTGTTTTTTGACTGGGAAATTTCAACATTTTAGTTTGAAAGAAAAATATGCTGATAAAAATACAGACACATAAGTAGGTATCAAAATATTTTATAACAAATAATATATGATAAATATGCATGTACATATGCTATAATTCAGAAAATTTTCAAAAAATTTAAAATTTTTAAATAATATTTAATTCAAATGATTTGATTTTCGAAATTTTTTCAAAACAACATTACGTTTTAAAAAAAAAAAATTTATTAAAAGAACTGACACTGTTAACAAAATTATTTGCAAGACGAAAAGAATTCCTATTATTTTTAAAAGAAAAAAAGAACGAAATGGAAATAAATGAAAGACGAAATAATATAATAAGACGCATCATTTTTGCATCAATATCTTCAACATCATTTTTAAAATTATTGAAATATTTTTTAAAATCCTCAATAAAATAAAATTTCATATTTCATTTATTATTCTTTTTTATGTTTTGTTTAATTTCATTTATGTTTATTTTGTTCCCGAAAGAAATAAAATTTCTTCTTAATTTTCAGTTTTTGAAAAATTTGATTTCGATGTATGTAGTGACAGTTAACCGAACAATGTTTCGTTAATAAGTGGTTAAGCATACATGGTTAAGTGTTTAACCAATCCAGTGTCTCTATCTATATCTATGATATATATATATGTATGCTGGATTCAACAGCTCTTCCGCAGTAAAATGATAGAGTGAATCCAGACGAACAAGAAACACCTACTGGCATTTTGCTTTTTGGACTCTCCACCTCGAGTCGTGAAGCTTCAAGGTTAGAATTTCTGAAAATTGTCTAATTTTTACATTTATATTGATAAATCGGGAAAAATAATAAAATTTTCATTCAAATGGTATATTAATTGTGTCGAAGACTTTTTTATTAATTGTGTCGAAAATTTTTGGAAAATTTTGATAATAAATTTTCCTTTAATTTGAAAAAGTTTTTATTGATGGTAAAAGTAAAACAAAGAATACTTAAAGAGAATTCTTAATTAAAACTTAAAAGAATTACATTTACTTTTATAATCGATAACAATATCTATAATAATTCTATATATTATGTAGATTTTGCAATGAAACTAATTTTTTAAAAATTAAATAACAAAATAATTTTTACATAATTATGTATACAATATGCATGCATTTATACTATTCATTATTTATAGTAAATTCATATTAATTATGTTATAGTTATTCATATTAATCGTTATAGTAATTCATAAGGGACAAAATTAAACTTAGGTCCCTTCACGAGACTGAATTAAATTTGAACTCATCTTATTATACAAACATCGTGAACGTGTTTTTTTTCAATAAAAGTTATTATTTGGTTTTTCACAAATTGTATTATTGTTTCAAAAATAACAACGAAGCTTATTTTTTTTCAATAGATGAATTATCTGAGAGCCGTTCTTTTATTTCTTGAGTGAGTTATTTTTTTAATTTTTGTTTCGTGGCGAGACGCGAAGTTTAAAAATTATGTTTCTAGTACATGATTCAGATAAGCAATATAACAAATTGCTAATTTTAAAATTTCAATTTTCGATAATTTTTTATCTGGAGGTAATGTTGGCAACAATTTTCTTAAATCAGAAAATGCTACATTAAATGCTTCAACGCGAATTCTTTCCCTTGTTGCATGAGCTGTTCTATATTTTAAAGTAGCACGACGTCTTCTTCTTCTTTCCTCTCTTGATAAACCTATTAATTCCGATGGATCTAAATGCGTTATAGGCATCGTTCTACGTCGTGTTGAACTTGTAGTTGTAGTTGTTGTTGTTGGTGAATTTGTCGGCATTGATGGAGGTGGTTGTAATGGTATATTTTCACATTGATGCGATGGTATTTGATAACTTAAATGATATTCTAAAGGATTCCTACCAACCTTTGGGAAATGATGCTCTATATCATAAACCATAATAATAATAAAAATATAACTAACTGTAGATATTTTGTTGCGATTTTTCCAAACTATTTGTAAAATCTGTAATTACCACAAAAAAAGTTTTACATAAATTTGCTGAATAATATTTAATATAATTTATACAAATAGAAAAAATAATAAATATTAATCATTGGAATGGATTAATAAACCTATTCATAATAGGTGCTTCTTTATTGTAAAAATTGCAAAAATATTTTGTCAAAATATCAAGTTAAGTTGTTTTTAAAGGTAATGAAATTTCTTTCGAAGTTACAAAATTTACAAAAACCATTCTTAATGTTTTTTATTTGCAAATGTTTTTATAGATATAAGAGTATATTTTTTAAATTATTTACTACATTCCTTTTTAGGCATTTCCAAAAAATTTAGAAAAATATTCGTTTTTAGTATTAAGGTAGTACTGTACCTTTCATTTTATAATAATTTCAGAGATATACCTGACCTATAATTGGACACACGACTGCCAACTTTCATGAATCTCACTTTATTATTTTTCCAAATATTTAAAATTAACTTTTGGAGTTGTATGGCAGGTAACCGAATCTGTCAAGCAGTTCAACCAAAATTTTAAGAATATATCTGGCCTTTAATTAGACATACGACTAGCTTTTTTAGTTTTCCGAATATATAAAATTTGGTTTTTTAGTTGTATGGCAACCACCCGAACCGGTGCAGTCATCCCATTAAAATTGTTAGAGCATATGTAGAATGTTATTGGACACACGTATAGCTACCCGAACTCGTTGTCTGAATTGGTCCAATTAAAATAGGGTTCGTCTTTGGCACAAAAGAAACAATTTGTGAAAGTTTGGTATCGATTGCATTATTCGTTTTTGAGTTGTCTTGCGATCGGACGGAGGGACGGACGGACATGTCTAAATCAACGCAGAATTTTACGTTGAGCAAGAATATATACATATGTATATATACATATGTGTATACCAAAGTTAATATACCTTTCATAACCAAAGTAAATATACCTTTCACGAAGATGCAGGACATAAAAATAAAGTAGGGGTTTTAGCTGATCTACATATACATATATACATATACATATACATATATACAGATATACATATACATATATTATTTGATAATCGATATACATATGTACATATTAATTTTTGAATTAGAAATAAGAAGGAGATACTGAATTTAAACATTTTTTGGTTAGATGTCGCTACGTACACTGAAATAAAAACTTTCAGAAATTGAAAATTAAAATGGGACATTTTTTCTTTTGAACACAAAATAAACATAAAAAAATATAAACAAAACGTAAAAAATAAAAAAGAAATAAAAATTTTAATATTTTGAGGATTTTAAGAATTATTTAAACAATTTTAAAAATGATGTTGACTAATTCGATTTTTTTTATTTCCATTACATTTTTTTAGGACTCTTCAAAAATTTGGAAAATGAGTGCGTATAGTTTCTCTCTATCCGTGTACCCGTTTGCAAACCTCAACACAATTGAAGAAATTTCACAATATGTATATGGATCTTTAGTAGATAGAAACTTACTTCGATAGAAAAGAAGTTTTAGCTATCTGACACTTTCCTCTAAAAGTTATAACTTAAAGGAGCCATTTTAAAGAAACCATAAAAATTTTAATGCAAAAAAATTGCGACTGGCATTTTTTACAGCGGCACTACACAACTGAATTAAAAATATATGTCTGCTAAAATTACCCGTTATCTAAAGCCCGCCCCTTACCTTAGTTAAAAATAAACGACGATGTGAACACTTGAATTCGAGCGTTATGTTAACGCCTGTAGTTTTTTTAAAAGCAGTATTCTCACTTGGTAAATCGCTACTTTACAAACCATTTAAATTTGACCAACTTTATTAATTTTGTTAACTACTTTTAATAAAAAATCTTTCCGATTTTTAGATAATTTATTTTGTTCATAAGAAACAAATGTCTATGTGTGAGTGTCTACATATACTATGATAAAATGTGTACATTTTAACGCAGTCAGTACTTTTAATAATAAAAAAAGAAAAACGTAGTTTCCTTTTTAATAAAAAATGTTTAAAATCAAGTCACATGAACTGACAACAAAAACGCTTTTTATTTTTACGCTTTAAATTTTTTTTAAGGGAAATTTCTATTTTTCACTTTTTCAAACAGAATATTGAATCAAGTCAGAAATTATAACTCTAATATTTTGTATTTTCAGTATATTATTTTCATATACTTTGTAGTTTTCAATACGAGTATGAAGTTAGATTCATCAAACTTGGCAGCTGTGTGTCCCATTACAGGTCATTATATTTTCCTAAGAGTAGTTTGACAAGTTCGGGTACTTGATATACAACAATGGAAGCTAATTCTAGATATTTCAAAAACAAATTTTTAAACTCAGATAGCCAAGGTGCAGGGTATAATTGGGTTGTTTTATGCCGACAAAACGTTTTTACTTGTTTGTAATAGCTATATGTGTTCTGGTTTCTGAAAAATTAAATAAATTTTGTTGGAATTCATCTTCAACAAAATTTACACTTAAAATTTTGGATTTGTTTTTTTTTCTATTGATACCCGTTGAACAAAAGTATACGAATGTAAGGTTCACTTTGGGTGAATTACAAGGTAAGAATTGGGTGGATAAATTAGAGAGTAATGATATATTCTAATGTCAAAATTTCGATTAAAACTAAACTCGGGTCTTAATTTTCAGATCCAAACCTTTTTTAAAATTTTATGAGTTAGGTAAGCAATTAAAAGTCAGGTAAAGCAGTGAAGAAAGCGTACAGATTATCAAACTTAATTTTTTAGATTTCCATGTTAAAAAGAAGGCATTTAAGCTTAAACTAATATTTTAAAACGAATAGAAACGATGATAGCCGCGTTAAATGAGATAGTAATGCAAATTTCACAAGGACAGTTGATTTTATAAAAATAATTTTGAAATGTCAGATCATATATGGGCAATAGATCATTACATATTATATAAATATGCAGTTACCACATCTTCAAACAAAATTTAATAAACTATGGAGGACGAATTTCACTCTATAGATATGTAGTTCAAATTTATATAATTATGTATACACATTATTATTTTTTGTATGTTATATTTAATTATTCTTTATATATGTACATTAATTACATTCGCTACACTTATAATGGAATGTTTTCAAGTTTTTCATTTCTCTTAATTTTTACCGTAAGTGTTTATTTTGTAATTTTTGGTATAAAGTATAAGAAATTTGGTATTTCTTTTAGGAAAAAAAACAAATGAATAAATAAAACATAAGCATAAGTAGCAATAGATCAAAATCAGAGATCAACCTGTACAGTAAAACCTGTCAAGTTGACCACCCGGAAAGTTGAAAAAAATTATGTTGCACGAAAATATTTTCATACAAAATTCATACGAATAAGCTGTCTATGGTGATCAGTGTAAAAAACAATTCTATGCAAGCTCAATTGTTTACGTATTTGTGTTATTAATACATATGTATATTTGTATTATTATGCATGTAACAATAATTTGAGGAAAAAATGTAATGAATAAAGTTTGATCAAACCAATGGTTTACCCTTTTTGAAACCAATGGATCGCTTTTTGTAGATATCGTCCTTAATTGGTTACTTTTTTAATATTTACACGTTGTACAATATGCTGTGGCAAAAGTTTTATGTGTAATGTAATTGATCATTTTAATATATTTAATTAAACTTAAAAATATTTGAAAATCGATAATTGGACAGAAAAAGAAACTTCATTTAAACAAAATTAGTTTCATAACAGAATAAAAAATAACTTTAATCAAATAAAAGTTTCTTTCATTTCAGCGGAAAAAATTTTCATTATATTCGAAAATCGATTTCACTATAATCTTAAAAATACTATATTTATATTTTTTATATTTGATTAATTATATTTGATAATTATAATTTTCCTGTTAATGGAAATAAACCTGTTATTCTAATGCGGTTTGATTTCATTTCACGACCGATTTTTAGTTTTTAGTCCTCTCTTGTGAATAAAATGTAAAAAAATGTGAACATGAAAAATTTTTATTAAGATTTTTATATGAAATGTTTGTTATTAAACGTTACATTGATGTACATATGCAGTGCATATCATCCTTTTTCAAAATAAATTATTAATTTTTATTGTTTATTGAAAATGTCTCAGCTGAAGGAACAAAAAAAATGCGGAATCAAAACTAGAACAATTCGTCCCATGAGATTCAACACATTTCTCATGTATTTATAGGAAAACAGTTACTTCTTATTTCCATCACATGTTAACCCTTCTTTTAGTATGTACGAGTATATTGCACATACATAGTCCTACAAATCTTGTGAAAACAATCGTGATGAAAATATGAAAGAGGAAAGAAATGAAAACAATATAGAATTTTATACAGAGTGTTTTGTGTCTTGGAAAACTACAAAATATTGCGAAGAAAAGTGTAATACATATTTATAATTTTTTTCGAAATAATTAACAACCAATGAATTTGGTTCATACCAAGTAAGATATTTAGAAAACCATCGTTCTCCTTCAAATATTTTTTGCTACACTTCGAGTGATTTTATACGGATGCATTCATCATCTTGAGCATAGATTGTTTCGGATTTTCTACATAATCATTTTTTTAACAGTAATTTCTTTTATTGACATTTATGGACATTTATGTAATAGCTCTTTTAAAAACTAAAAAATTACAACCTTAAGAATTTTTAATATAAATAAATAAAATTAAATGATTAATCTATGGTTTTATCTAAATTAATTTATACGAGTATGTAGCAATATCAAAATCACCGTAATGCCTAAGAAAACACCTGGTACGAACACACATTATAACGTTATTGAATTATTAATGTTTAATATAAACAAATATCACATAATATTATTTTTATTTACGTTTTTGGTTAATTTGGTTGCCCTCAAGAATATCTTAATAAAATTATATTAGAGAAAAAGCTGAATGAATAATTTTTGGATATAGGTATGCATATTTGTATATAAGAATACCGCCCAAAAGCGTGTATATTTTGATTTTATATTAAATATTATTTGAAGAATAATAAGACTCAAAAGAAACAACAAAACATACATACTGTGTTTGTGCAAGTAAAAAGATTTATATTTAACAATCTATTTATAATGAAAGGCTTGTAAAATTATGGATACATGAAAAGTACGCGTATAATTACGTGTATGTGAATAGGAACGTAATATTATTGATCTTGAATGTTGCGTTATGTCAAATAAATTCTCTAGCAAATAATAATTATTATTAAAAATATTAAAAGGAAAATAATGAATTATGTTGCACTTTGTATAAATTCTCTGTTAATCTTTGTTAAAGTAATGTAAAATATTCTCGAAAACTACAAAAAAAAAATCAGCAAAAAATTAAAATATGTACAATACACTTTTGTTTATTGTTATTATAAGGAGGATTAGAAATTTTTTTTCTAGAATCTAGATCTAATTTACTACTGGAAATCGCTTTAACTAATTTAATTCTTTATTAGCTTCAAATACCAATACCACAACAAAACGAAAATTTTTTCCTTTAACCCGTTGAACTTAGTAAAGTTCTTTTGAATGCTTCCTGAAAATACCCTTTAAATTTGTTTCAAAAAGAAATATCTTTCAATTCAATGAGAAGGGCAGGCGAAGAGCAACAAGAATATTTTAAATGATAAATAATTTGAAGTTATAAACAGATTAAAGGAATTTATTATACTTAACAATCATTTTATCTTTTAGATAAGAATTCAAAGGTGAAAAGTTATAGTGGTTATATATTAAGTATGAAAATTATTTAATTAATTTGATGCTAAAAATGTTACTCTACCATAATTTACTTTGACTAGTTGATTTTTTAATTTTACAGAACAAGAAAAATAACAAATACGAGTAATTTTAGCTTGTAATAAACTTAATGGTTAAGATTGCTAAAAGTTTTTCGGATCATGTTAGCAAATTGTTTTCAAGCTTCTCAATCAAAATTTTGAATCCTCTTTTTGAAAATTCTAAAGAATATTAGAAGTCTAAAAAAATTTCCATTTTATATTGATATTTAATTATATTTACACATCCAGATATTTTTTTCAAAATGCTCTAGTACGTTGCAAGGAATTCAATAAAGTTGAGTCAAACCAATGGTTTGTAATGTACTCGCTGAATTCGCTGAAGAGTGTAAATTATTGTGATAAATCCATAATCATTGTCATATTATTTTATGCTTGAGTTATATTATATGTTATGAATGAGACAATAATATAATAATTCAATATTTTGAAATGTGTAATATGTACGTAAGGTACCTACGGATAATAAGGTCTAAATGTCGAAAAACAGACAAAACCGATACCAAAAATTTTCTCTTATAGTTATACTGATTTACAGACACCTGTTCATACATGCTATTTTTTCATAAATATTTGAATATCATATTTGCATATTTAGTGTTGTTCTTAGCGTATATGAGAATACATATTTTTTCTAATAATAAAATCAAGTCAAAGAAATTTGAACGTATGTGCCAGAGCAGTCTTCTAATGATAATCAAAATACAAAAAATCATCAATTTCGTCAACCCAACAGGATGTTCGCGAAATTTAACATCAAGTGAAATAGAGTAAATGTTTGATTGCTGTGATACCGATAATTCGAAACATAATATCCTATGAGCTCAAACTGAAAATATCATCAGCATTATAAAAATCAGCATTATGAGTATAACATCAGCATTGAGAAACTTTCTGTCAACTCTAAATTTCAAAAAATAACACCAGTTTTAAACAGAAAAAAACTATAAATTTTAAGGGTAAGTGGTTATCAAAGATTTTTTTCTTTAAACTAAATTCAATGTAAAAAAATATTTAACAAAAAAAAAAATTTTAAAACCACCAAAACATTCTAATTATGAAATTTCATGTTAAGTTCCTTATTGTATACACTAAGTTTAATATGGACTATTTTATAAGTTGTTGTAAAGTTGAAAAACTTTTATTTTAATGAACAGAATTGATTTACTCTGTGATAATTTTTTAAAAAGAAAATATAAAATTATTAGTTAGTAATGTGTATGTATATGATATTAGTTAAAATATTAGAGAGAAATATAAATTATGCTATAACCAAAAAAAATATGTACTTCCAATGTTATAGTTATAAATTAAAATTTTTATTTTAATTTTATTAAAAAACAAAGATGTTTAATGAAAATAGAAAAACAAAAAGAAATTGATTAAAAAATAAATTAATTTTAAAAAACTTATTGAAAAGTTTTTATTTTGCTAACTAGAGTTATTTTGGATCCGTTCGTTTGTTTCCCCGGTTGTTTCCATTTTTTGTGACAAATTTTTTTTGATATAAAGGTTTGAATTTTTATTGTATGGAATGTATTGGATTTCAACAAAATCTTTAAAATTAAGGTTTTGTAGTAAATAACAGTTTTTAAAAATGTCAGCTGTTTTTAAGAATAATCTGTTTAATCAAAAATTAATAATAAATAAGAATTGAAGCACTAAAGTTAATTAAAATCTACAATAGCGATAACTTTTGAGCATACACATTTTATAAATTCCTTTAGAATCTTGAACCAAAAATGTTTTTTTTGCTCTATTTCCTATACCATACAAGATTTTATAACATTTAGTGATTCAAATTTCAGCTTGAGAAAATAGCCAAAATTCTGTAAAAAAAGTTTCAAAAAATGTAGTACAAACTTATCGGGTTGAAGAAAAATAAAAATATTTAAAAAAGGGAAGAATTAGATTTTTCCCCAAGTTTGAATGCTTGGTATTCCGAACACAAAATACAAAATCAAGTAAGTAATCCATTAAGATCTAAGTAATTAATTAAGTAATTTTGAGATGCAAATTTGAAAATAAAATTAATCTGAAATAGCTGCTTAGTTTTAATTATCATAATTTATGATAGGTTACAAAAATTTGACAGGTTTTTATAAAATTCAATAAAGGTAAACAATTCAATTGGTTTGGATTTTACGTTAAGACCATTCGCAATTCATTAAAAATGGTGGTCTTGAAAGCAGAATGGTTATTATAAATATTGTGGTACCTTTGGGTCGCTTCTTTTTAATTTTTATATCGATAGCATGCAATAGCTGGAAACGAGTAACTTGGATATAAATTTATGCGCTGACGATGTTTGCTTAGTTTAAAGTTGATATTTGTTATTTAAAACCGTATTTAAGTGAGTTAAAATAACATTTTAATGTTCTTTTGCGTAGACCTATTCATTTTCCGCGTTCTCAAGTTCCAAAAATTGATTGGGATTTTTATTATATACTTCCATACTTTGCGCGGGTATGAAAAACTGGTAGTCGTAATTGCTCTCCCAACTAATTTTATTTTAACGATTATAGCAGTTTTTAAAAAATGGTTAAAATAAGTTTTTAAAAATTGCTATAATTTTCATGTTTGGCTATAATTTTTAATGAGCAATTATAAAAATATAACTAGTAAATCTATTATTTTTAACAATTTTATCCAAAAGATTTTTACTTAATTTTTATTTTAAAAACTTTTATTGCAACATCCTTTAGGGAAATAATTTTAAGGAATTTTTTACGTTTTATTTAAATGTACATCAAATTTAAAATTTTATGCAAAAATATTCAAAATTCAATTTTTATTTAACAATAATTATTTAACAAATTGTAAAATTCTAACACATTATAAGAATATTTTTAGCCTAATCTCGTATCTCGCTCTTTTTTATTCACTTTTTATTCACTTTCAAATCAGAATTCTCCGTTTTAATGGAAATTCAATTTTTTCAATGATTACTCATTTTTTCAATTGGATTTTTGCATTTTTTCCAAAATTATTGACTGAACGTCTCACTTTCAAAGACTAAGTGAATAAATTTTGTATACATACATTGTAGAAAAAAACTATATACACAATACGGAAGAATTATTCTTCAATCCAAAATTACATTATACAAATATTTAATAGTTACTCTGTTTCTTCTCACTTACCGAATAAAATAGCAAGATAGACGATCAGACCCTTAAGGATCTTTTTAATAACAATTGCTTTGCTAATTAGTTTTTAATTCTTATTTCGTTTTTTGTTAATCCGTTTTTGGTTTTGAAATTATTGTTACATTTAAATTACATAACACAATAATCAATGATAAAATTGAAAAAAATGCAATTATTATTTCTCACTGAAACCACAAATTTTATCTTATTTGAATGAAATCTAATAGGAAACTGATAAAGAAAATTCCATACAATTCATTTTTATATTTAATACATAATGCATATAAAAGGACATTAGGATGTTGGTACATGACAAAATATCACAAAAAATATACGTCTCTTCTTTGCCAGTTAAATATTTTAATTTTTTTTTTTCTTTTATATTTTTTATGATTCCAACCCCTTAAATTTTCATTCCATACGTAATTCGCATATATGGGAATATAGATATACATAGATATATGTATATATTCAGGATTTTTAACTTAACATTGCGCATCTGATGCTGTCTCCGTAGATTCCTTTTATAAAACATCTTGTTGAATACATTTGTTTTCATTGTGTATTTATTTAATATGTACTTCCTTATGTGTATGTATATACAAATAAAAACGTGTGTATACTTGTAACTAAAACACGCCCATTTATCCTGTACTTTTATCTTTAAATCTTTTTTCTTTATTTTCAAAATGGTGGTTTTACATAAATTAATGATTTAAAAATTGTTCTATGGTGTATACGGGTGTATATTGTTATAATTTATAAAGAATATTATTCCTCATAAATTATTAAACACCTGTATATCTACATAAGCTGTGCGTTTTTTTATGAAAAATTTAAAAGTTTTATGATTTAAACTTTAAATTTCTTATAAGAATTTTACATTTTGTTATATTGTAAGATTCATTGTAGCAGGGTATATAAGCTTGATAACTTGTTTATGAATTTGAGGTGTGAATTTATAATGGAGATCAAAATACTGTTAGATAGTATCGAAATATTGCATTAAAATCACATGTATTTTAAAATAGTTTAATTTTTTCTTCACGGTTGTTACACACTTAAAAAGTCTAGTTATGATCCTGGGTGAAGTAAGAGAAAAGATTAATTTGCGTTAAAATGTCTTTCCAAAAAACAAGTTGGCACATTAGCAAAATATTTTAGTAAAAAAAATTGTTATCAGTTTCAATTTCCCTGTTCATCTCAACAAACAAAATCAAAGAACTGTTCTTCAGTCTATTCAAAAGATCAACTGTTCAACATTTTCTGGGGTGTTGCCTCTTGTTCAGCAAGTTTTCGTATATATTGATCATCCATTTAATTTATTTTGTAGCCCTTGTTTGAAGTTTCTATTTTTTTCGATAGGGAAGTTATAAGCAAAAAAACTTGGGAAAGATGAAATTTCGTTAAAATTTTTATATGTCGGAAAACGTTTATTTTTGATACCCGGCTCCAAGTAAAAGTTTTATTTAATTTTGCTGCCCCAAACATTGATATATATATTTTGTATCCATTACTGAATCACCCGCCCGTGTATAAAGATCAAAATAAAGAGCCATCCAATAAACACTTTCCTTTAATTTTCAATAGCAGAATCCGAAATTAGCCAAAAAGACTATTAAGCCAATAAAAAAAATTATTAATAAAGAATTAATAAAGTTTCCTGTTATAGTTACACAATTTTGATTTGGTTAAAGTTAAACACAATACGTGAAATAATATTCTTATCGGTTACATAATTATGTAATCTATATACTATAATACATCCTATTACCATACTAAAAATATCACATGTAAATTTTTTTTTTCCTATGATCCTTTTTTAGCACTTTTCCAAAAAATTTTCGAAAAAAAGTGCTTATTAGTTTCATTCTGTTAGTAAATTCTACGACATTAAAAAATATATGTAATTATTTTTCTTAACTCACACAAATAACCCTTAAAAACGAGCATTATGTTAACCCCACTTTATATTAATTTTTGCTTTATATTAAAGACTGCATAAATCGTTCATCCTAAATATATGCAATCCTAGAAATAGTTTTGTATATGAATGAAAATAATTTTAATAGTGTGATAACTGATAGGTATACATAGACTGTATTTAAAAGCAGAATTTTCACTTGTTGAAGGGAAAAGTGCTACAATACAAACCATTGGTTTGACCCAACTTTATTAAGTATTAATATGTTTTGTGATTAATATTGCAAACATTTATGATGCACCTTTAAAAAAAAATAAATTTTTCGAAAATTATCTTTTGTATTTCATTATGAAATTCATTTATATAAATATGAGTAATATATAAAGTACTCGTATGAACATAATATACATATGTATACTTATAACCTGCAACAACTACCTTTGAAGAAAATCTAAAGCATATTTTAGTAAATTTGTGAAAATTTTTGCATTAAAGCAATGAACTCAACAGATAAATATTGACACAGAAAAAAATGTAAAAATTTATTTATTTATTTATTTAATTCCAGAGTATGCGAGCTAAATTTGTATTGATGTATGTGTACGTATATATGGAGGGAAAGGAAATACTAAATGAAAATTGATTTAATTATGTTCCAACAGGAATTTGCCAGGATACTTACAATAATAGTAAATTTCTATAGGGATAAACAAAAAAAATTTGTTGTAAGGGTGTTCAAATTAGTTATTATTGAGGCGTCGGATAGATTGTTCATATAAAATTTTTATTTTAGTTTTTGTTTTGTAAGTATGTATATATGTACATGGATGTATACATAAAAACTCTTATATTATAAAGCAATATCATTAAATAAATGCAATACATATAATTAATATTGTAATTAAAAAAAATATTCTTTTTGAGATTCTGTAATTCTTTGTCTTTCTATTCAAAAATTGACATTTTAATTTAAAATAAAAGAAAAAAAAACTGAAATTTTCTAATATATAAAATATAGAATTTGTTTTTTAAATGCGGTATTCATAATTTTTGATATTAAAATATTTTTTAAAAGAAGGAAGAAAAAAAGATAACCTTGGATACGATCAACTTAAAGAATTAAAATTTATGTATATATTAAAAACAAATTTTAAGGATATTTAACAGAAATTTAAAGGAAACAACAAATTGAACATTATGTGTTATAATTTCAGTGCAAATCAGGTGAGCAAAATAAATATAGTTTGAGAAATACTTATCCTACATATGTATGGACATGTTTAAATCTTGATTTCTAAACATATGTACATATATTGTGTACATTAACATACATATATTTACACATGACAATAGGTACATATGCATGTACGTATGAATAATTAAACCACTTAAATAGTTGTACATATACATATTATGTAAGTATTTTTGTTATAAGACAATTAAATAGAGGTTCTTAAATAAAATGCATGCATGCATTACAAGAGTGGGTAGACATATTGATTCTGATATGTGCATAAGCATATGGATGTACTTATATAAAAGAATGTGTAGAAATATTTCATAATCCTATAAGTATGCAAAGTTTTAAAATGTATTTAATTTTATATGAATGCCTGTGAATGCTTTCTATTTTTCTCCGGAATGATTATGTATTGCGTCTTGTACATTTATGCACAGAATATTTTCGTTTCATACATATGCATGTACATATAAAAAGACAAAATAACTGAGAATAATTAACAAACAAAAAAAAAAACAAGTCCGTATATAAAATTAACAGAAAATCGTTATTATGGTTTAGTATTAGTATGGTCTAATATTTTGTTAATATTATGCTTTTAAATACATAATAAGCATAAAATCTAATCCATAATTTAAAGATAAAATAATTTAACTTACATAATATATACATATATACATACATATGTACATATATGGGTACATTTTTCCATATAACTATTAAACATGCATCATTTATGTATGTATATGTATATATGGAGATGAATACTTACTCTCGCATGAATACGTACTCTTTCGTAAAGTTATATAAGAAAGACTACATATAATGTTAGAGGACGTTTAAGGTTGTGGTAGTTGGAAGTAGTAGAGTTTTCAATGTTATATACGGTTTTAAAATGGACAGGGCCCCTTGGCATATATGCAGGGTGACTTAGATATAACTACATACAACTACAATAGAATTGGTATTTTGAAGCCTCTATCGCTTTCGGAACGGAAGTTACAGGCAAAAAATCTTAAACAAGCAGAAATTTCATAAAAATTCGTTAAAATCCCTGGAACTCGGAAACCTTTGAGATAGAGCACCTAGCCCTGAACAAGGGGTTTGTCCATTTTCGACCCTCTTACCAATGATATATGTTGTTGTATACTTTCCTGTCACCCTGTATATGAGACATTTGAGTTTATTTTTCAGATTCTTTTTTATTGTCTTGTTTATTAACTTTTAAATGAATAATAAACTTCGCGTATATTTCGAATAATTTATTTTAGGCCAAACTCCTTGCAGGTTTATTGGTATTTTTATACGTACATTTAAAATTAATATAGGAATGTATAGTAGTGCAAAAGGATTTCATATAAAAATTTTTGTTTTTTTTTTATAATGTAAACAAAATATTAAAATAAATAAAAAAGTAAATAAATAAATGACATTGTGTTTATTACCATGGTGATAGTAAGCCATTTGAAAAAGATGCGCAGTTGAGACGCATTTTGAAATGAAAAATATGAAAATATAATTACACTTAAATTATATGTAAATATTATATACCTATATAGAACTACATTATGTACATATTATTATTTTGTATTAAAAACATTTCATGAAATTGGTCAATAAGCAAAAAAAAAATTGCGGTATTATTTATAAATATGTTCGGATTTAAATTTACAGTACTATGAAAAATTTCAGAAAGTTTTATAGTTTTATATAGAAAAACTTCAGAATGGTAGTAATATGCAAATTGTATATTCATATGTAATGTACGAGTATGTGTAGGTATGTCAAAATTTAATAGAAAATGTCCCTGAAAATTTTATATCCGGAAAATTAATAAATAATTTTTTGTTAAAAGCAGCTTAACTGCATTAAAAGTGCATTGCATTTTAAATTGTTTTTTAACGAACCGACGATAATTTTAGTTTTTAGAAAGGAAAAA